GCAGTTCCACTCTGTCCTCTAGGGGCGCTGTGGGTCAGAATGGACTCCCTGGCAGTGGGTGTGGTTTGGGCTTTGCTTCTGTGAAGACTGACAGCCTTGGGACCGTATCGGGCAGTTCCACTCTGTCCTCTAGGGGCGCTGTGAGTTGGAATCACCTCCCTGGCAGTGGGTTAATCTTTGCAGGAGTAGATCTGCATGTCTTTCGGCCGCTCGGGTGAGCACTTAACCACCATTGTGCCTAACCACCGTAAAGATGACAGCCCAGGAAACCCCAGGGGCAGTTCTGGTCTATCACGTGGGTCATTGCAGGTTGAAATAGAGTCCATGGCCCCTAGCGACTACCACCATCGCAGGGCTGTGCGATTTTTGCACGTGGGCCTTGGCCCTCGGAGCCTGTTTCCCATGGTGGGAACTGGGCATTCAGCCTGTGGTGCCTAGGGCACTGGTTCTCAGCTGCTGGCCCCTTGACAGAAAGGTATGTTCTTGGGCCCACCCCAGCCCTACTGAGTCAGCAGAGTGGGCTTTGGCACACCTTCCAGGTGATTCCGATGCGGGCACGAGCGTGAGAACCACTTGCTGTAGTGGGACACAGCACAGGCTGTGGAGCCGGGGACACTAGGTTTGAATCTCAGCACTATCACCTCCTGACAGTGTTACCACGCAAGGCGCTTGGCCACCCTGGGCCTCAGTTTCCGCTCTAACCTTCTTATTAACAGGACGACCCTTGTTTCCCTTTCTGTGAACTGCATATTGGCAGCAAGAGGAGTCACTGGGCTGTGCAAATGGTTAACACACTTGGCTGCCGACTGAAAGGTTGGACGTTCAAGTCTACTGAGAGGTCCCTCGGAAGAAAGGCCTAGCAACTAACTGCCTAAAAACCAGCCGTTTGAAAACCCAATGGAGTGCAGTTCTACTCTGAGACACAGGGGGTCGCCTATGAGTCAGAGTTTGCTTGTTGTCAACCGGAAGTACAGGCTGACCTCAGAAATATGGTGGGCTCAGTTCCAGAGCACCACAATATAGTCAATATTGCATGATGCATTTTTTGATTTCCCTGTGCATATAAAAGTTATGTTTACACTATACAGTAGACTATAAATTATGCAATAATTAAAAAAAACTCACTGCCATGGAGTTGGATCTGACTCATAGTGACCCGTCCTTGGGTTTCCGAGGCGGTATCTCTACAGAAGTAGATTGCCGAGCCGTCCTTTGGAGGAGTGGTTGGTGGGTTTGAACCACCAGCCATCTAGTTAGCAGTCAAATGCCTTAGGCACTGCACCACCAGAGTTCCCACATTCACAGAAGCAAAGCCCAAACCAAACCCAGTGCCTGGAGGGGATTCTGACCCACAGCGCCCCTAGAGGACAGAGTGGAACTGCACCACAGGGTCTCCAAGGCTGTCAATCTTTAGGGGAGCAAAGCCCAAACCACACCCACTGGAAGCAAAGCCCAAACCAAAGTCACTGCCATTGACTTGACTTGACTCATAGCGACCCCTCCCTGGGTTTCCCAGGCAGTATCACTACAGAAGTAGATTGCCCAACCTTCTTTCCGAGGAGTGGCTGGTGGGTTTGAACCACCAGCCATCTAGTTAGGAGTCAGATGCCCTAGGCACTGCACCAGCGGAGCTCCTATAAGGTATGCAATAACATGATGAAAGAGTTCGAAATACTATGAGTGATCAAAATGGGACACAGAGACATGAATGGTGTCAGTAGACTCACTCAACACAAGGTTGCCACAAACCTTCAATTTGTAAAAAACGCAGTATCTACAAAGTGCGATAAAATGAGGTCTTCCCGTAGTGGGGGTTACTGAAAGCACCTGGTGTTGGGTGTCCGTGAGTCATTTTTGACGCACAGTGACCCCACGTGACAGTAGAACTGACCCAGAAAGTTTATCTGTCATCTTTAAGAAGGCAGGTTGCCACTCTTTCTCCCGCAGAGCCACTGGGTGGTTTTGAACTAGCAGCCGAGTGTTCAACGGTTGTGCCACCAGGGCCCCTTCTGAAAGGGGGAGCAGCGATTAAAAGTGGAGTCTCTGGGACTCAGACTGCTGAGCCCCTGCACCCCCACTTCCTGGCTGTGTGGCTTCTGGAAACATCTATAACGTCCATGTCATTTGTCCAAGGATGCTAGAGAGAGTGCTGAGCACGGCTGGGCCCACAAAGAAACCAAGCAGCCTGCTGTCTGCAAAAGTGAAATGCGGTTACTCACCCAGCAGACAGCCGGTGCCCCCAAAATACTCGTTCTGCCGTAACACCTCCGCTCAAAGACCACCCTGTCATAGACGTCCTCGGTGACCGCCCTGAGCCAACACCCCGTCTGCAAACTCCCCATCTCTCCCTGATCCTTTCGATCAAGACATGAGGTCCCTGAGGGGCCCAGCGTGTGCTCAACTACGAAACCAAGTAGGACACCTGGTGGTACGGTGGTCAAGCGCTTGGCTGCGCACAGCAAGGTTAGTGGTTCAAACCCACCCAGCTCTGCAGGAGAAAGACCCGGTGATCTTTTCCTGTGAAGATGACTCTTAGGAGGCCCTGTGGGACAGTTCTCTTCTGTCACATGGTGTCGTTGCTATGAGTTGGAAATCGTCTTGACGACACTTAGTAACACCAACCAGCCTAAAGTTTTGCACTTTGAACCCAACGAGTGGTGCCACGGGAGAAAGTCCTGGTGACCTCTGAGGTTACAGCCAAGAACACTCTGCGGGGCAGTTCTACTCTGTAACACATGGGGGCGCCATGGGTGGCAACAGGTTTTCTTTCCAGGGGGTTGGCACGTCACTGGGACCCCCACGTGAGGATGGGGGTCCTGCTCTGTTTCCCTGATGCACCCCTGAGGCTTTGATGGCACCTGGCACAGAGCAGCATTCAGTCCAGCTTGAATGAATGAGGGGGCGAATGAATGAATGAGGGTGTGACTGCTATCTAATGGCCACGTCCTTGGAGTGGGGTCCAGTGAACAGATAAGGGTTTGAACCCTGTCTTTGCCTCTTACTAGCTGTGTGGCCCCAGGTAAGTGACTTCCCCTTACTTTGTCTGCAAAATGGGAAGACTGATGTCTAACACAGTCGTGGTGAGGCTGAAATGAGATCGTTAGTGTCCAGCGATTGTGGCGACTCCTGGAGCCTATAACCAAACCAGACCCACTGCCGTCAAGTCAGTTCCCGGGCAGGCCACCTCCTGTCCCTGTCTGTCATTGGAGGCTTCCGTGTCACTCTGATTCTGAACAGGTTTCAGAGCTTCCAGACTGAGACAGACTAGGAGGAAAGGCCTGGCAATCTACTTCTGAGCCTCATGGATCACAGTGGTCCAGTCCTCAACCTGAGCGTGGTCTTTGGACCTGCTTACACTAGGGGAGGGGCCTTCCCAAGATCACGGCGCTCACACGTGGCAAGACCATTCCATGTTCTGGCCATTAGGAATGGTTGGGGGGAACAGGAGAGGAGGAGGGAAGATGTGTGGGTGTCATTTAAGGGGTATGGTGACGTTTGAAGGAGCCCTGGTAGCATAGTGGTTAAGCACTCATCTGTTAACCGTTGAGGTCAGAGTTGGCACCCATCAGCTGCTTCAGGGGAGAAAGATGAGGCAGTTGCCTTCTGTAAAGGTTTACAGCCTTGGAGACCCTGTGGTGCAGTTCCACTCTGTCCTCTAGGGGCGC